ATTAAAGTGGTTCTAACAAACAGATGGACCTACCTAAAGAGTAACAGACTGCTAATTAATTCAGGCTAGGACATGATCAGACTACCCACAAATGTGGCAAATTAATGTAAGAGTATAATTGCGTAACGCATAAAAAAAATTGCAATGGCAGTTGAAAAGCAAAACATCAGAACATTGTTCCCTTTGATGTTCAGGACCATTAAACAGCCCAGAACATATAGCACTTGTACTATTAAAATAAAAATACATCAAAAGTTGAAGGAGGGACACCTGATGACAAGGGAAAAGAAATGGATAAAAATTCACAGTAAAATAAATTAATAGTATAATAACGCGTCAGTCCGAGGGAAAAGAGCTGAGTGACGAGTTATTCTGGAGTGGCGAGTTAGGCAAAGGTCCTCCTGGGTCACAAGGGGGAGCTGTGACTGCTGCGAGTGCTTGGTGGAGGGTGGACACACATGCACAGGTGCAGCGCAGAAGCCTCTGGTCTATTGGATAGAGCAGGCGGCTGCAGCACAGCCCTCCCACAGACCAGACGAGACACATCTGAGCATGTGTGCTCACGTGCCCACACCACTCACATGGATACCAGACGACATTTTATAGGACGAGTTATCCAATCAACTTTACATTGTAAGCACTTTTCAAGTATTTCTAGAATGCAATGAGTGATGTTTTAAGTGGAGTGACAAGCAAAGTCTCTCATTAACTCTGCACGCCAGTTCTCTCATCACTCTCGTGCTCGCCAAGCTCCACCGGCTCCATGGAGATTGATTCCAAGATCCTCGTCCATAAATCCCTTCACGACCCAGCATTTCCTGATCGCTCCGATCTCCGAGCCCACTCTGCTCATGCCTCTGTTTGGCAAACATCACCCTCGCTCTCTGTGCCACCACAGGTGGCCAAGCCTTCAGATTCTGCATCCTAACTTTGGAAACTCCTCCATCTCAGCCTCTTCTCTGTCTTTTCTACCTCTTTGATTGCGCCTTTGGCCACCTGCCCCACTCCTGCCCTGGCCAATGTCTGACCCAATTTTTAATTCGGTGTTCTGAGACTTTACTAGAAGGATGCTATGTAAATGCAGGTTGCAAAGGATTGCAAAGTTGTTATTGAGTTGTTCAGCCTTCAGCCACTCTGCCCTCAAGTATTATTTCTTTTAATTCATTCCATCCCAACAATATAGTGGTATAAAAATCTTACCATCATAGCAGCCAATACAACTCCAAATTTTGCTCGTTAATAACAATGAACTTTTCACAACTCCAATTCTCATACATGGGATCCAGGTTACACAGGGTTCGGCCCCTACAACGGGGTCTGAATTGACATGCTGGTGAGGCTGAAATCATTGTCTTCTAATTGTAACAGAGACCAGTTTGTAAGATTGCAAATAGCTTTGCCATCACTACACTATTTCTGGAAACTGCATTTTGAGCTCTCCAACCATATATGGCTTGTGGATTCCACACTTCAACGTTTGCAAGGTTATTTGTGAAACATTTGATTTGCCATATAAAACTTCTCTGGAATACACGAGCGGTAAGAGGCCTGCCAAAGAGGTTAATTGCAGTTTAAACAATTGTCCACGGAAGATCAAACCATGCACACTGGCAACAATCTATTCTAATTATAAAACACACATAGAAATGTTGGTCCTCCATAGCCTCAATTTCTCATCGTCAGAAGTTTGAATGAAGGCGAGCGGAAGAAAGAGAGAGAGAGACTCTGATAGTCACACGACACTGCGATCCACGATAGGACCAGATCCAACTAATCCTGCTATCAAGCTCACCATTGTAGTAATCCTTTACTCTTCTTTACAGCACAAAGCAGTTTCTTAAAGACATCCAATATATTGGCTCCTACCAGTCTTCCAGTTCTAGATCACCTTCTGTGTAAAGTAGAGCTTTCTGATGCCTATTCTAAAGTTGGCCTTCAAACCTTAAACCTCTTTCCTATTACAATGGAAATCAGTCCGTTTGCTGTTCTCTGTCCTGTTACTAAGGTCTAGGCTGATCCCTTTTGTTGACAGCAGAATTTTACACATTCCTGACCCTAAAACCTTTACAGCGAACACAATGTCTGGGCATCTAAAATGCAGCCCAGCATTCGCTTGCCTTGTTTAGTCCCAATGTCAGGATATGACCACAAAGAAATCAGCCATCATCCCTTAGGTGAGCACCTGTGGGAGGAGTAAGTACACCAACAGCGGCAACAAGATAGCCCACAAGTTCACACATACGTGTTTGTAAGACCCGACCCCCCGATATCTGACACCACTGTCACCACTGACACCACTTCTTCTCTTTGACTGTGCCTTCAGCTCCCCTCTCGACTCTCTACCCCCTCCTCGCTCCCTCCCTTCCCTCCCCTCACCCTGACCATTTCCCCCCTCCTCGCTCCCTCCCTTCCCTCCCCTCACCCTGACCATTTCCCCCCACTGCTCGGGTCCTGACCCAACTGTACAGCGCCTTGGGACGTCCTCCCGACGTGAAAGGCGCTCAATAAATGGAATCTTGTTGTTGTTCTCATCTTCTCATTAACAATTTATATAGCAGTTCCTCAGCCTATCCAGGTTCTTAACTGAACACAGTGTGTTTTTTTTAAAAAAAGCCTAGCTTGCATGTTGCTTTTCTGCAAAATAATAATAAACCTTACATTTGGTATAGCCTGGTCCATGTTGGGAAGATGTCTCAAACCACTTCACAGATATACAGTAGAGTGCAGTGTCTGTGTGTTTAGTGGGTGAACAAGGCAGACAATTTGCACACAGCAATGTCCCAGAAACAGTCATCATGTGAACCATCAGTTTTACTTGGTTGTTGTTGGCCAGGACAGCAGACGAAACTCCTTCTCTTATTGAATAGTGCCATGGGATCCTTAACATCCACCTGAACAGGCAGACATGACATCTCATCTAAAGAATAACACCCCCAACAATGCAGCACTGCATTGGGAGTGTCAGCCTAGATTATGGGTTACAAGTGCCAATGCAGAATTTGAACCCACAACCTCCTGACTCGGGAGGCGAGTGCTGACACCGACTCCCGACTAATGTGTTTGCCATTTATGCTCTATTGGCTTAATTAATGTCCTACACATTTTACACGACACAAGATTTCCACTATTCTTCATCCCCATCGCTGCACAGGCTCAAGTCTCCCACACAACTCACGAACCGCATTGCGAACTCCCCAAATTTGTCTAAAATAGTTCCAGACTGCTCAACCGGTCATCAAATGCGGGAAAATAAATGTTTGGATCATATTTTCTACCTTATCCCGGACTAAAAACAATGTGTATTCTTAAATGCTTTGAAAGAGGAATAGAGAAACTGCCATTCGAACTGCCAGCCCATGCTAATACGGTTGTTTGTGGGAAAGAAATTGCAGAAACTCATGCTCCCAGTAGATGGTGATTTCCAAAAATCACCATATCCCACTACCCCAGTAGTGCTGAGTTTGTGTTTCGCAAACAGTTGATTGAAACCCTGATTTTGAAGTCTGAGAATCAGCTGTTTATAAATGCTTAGCAAAATAACTGCAAAAGCACTACAAATACCTCTGTGGCGAGTTTGAATTAATGCCATTTCTCCAGGAAGATGCAACGTTAACCTGTCTACACAAGGTTTGCCAATATGGAAGTGAGCTGCAAGACTCCACAAGGTGGAGTCCTGTAGCTCAGTGGTTAGAGCACTCGCATCGCAAACGAGACACCTGGGCTCAATTCCAGGCAGAGGGCGAAACCTCGGGCAAGTTTCCTTACTCCACACAGAGCCTAATAATAATCCCTCCAAACCAAAAAATACTAAATTGGCCATTTTCAATCCACGGCTGTTTGTGGGACACTGCTGTGCGCAATTGGCTGCCGCGTTTCGCCCACAAATATACGGTCAATTCACTTTACAGCATATTCTGTGAAGCGCTTTGAGACGTTCAGAAGACATGAAAAGCGTTATATCAAATACAAGGATTATTATTATTATTATTATATAAACACCAGGCCACTTTATAGATATTCTTTTAGACGATCCCTATGATTTTCTCCACCTTATTCCTCCCACAGAATTGTCAGGCATAGATTACTTTGGGTTGGAATATCGGAACTAGTACGCTTTGAAAGTTTAGTTAGTGCTATCTTCCAGCACAAATTTTGACAGCAAAGTCCTTTATATTGAATTCACATGCGGCAGTATCTAAAGCAGCAAATTATGTAATACAACAAGTCCCAAAACAAATATAAAGTCCTCTGAGAACACTGAACAGAGGAGAAAAACACTTTATTCCCTTGGTTATAAATCGCACCAATATCTGCAATAGTTACCAAAAATCCAAATCACACAACTTACACTATATGTAGAATGCGCTCTATTAACTACAAAAATCAATTGCATTTGACTTGAAAAACACTTTCACAACTGACTAGTTTTCCACATTCAAAGGATAAAATCTGTAAGGTGAATCTAACCTATAAAATCACCACTTCAATACTTAAATAAAAAGTAAGAAAATTCTATATTCTTTGCAGAGTGGGTAATGGTGGGATTTTAATACATGCAAAGTATATAGGCTGTGTTATTCTAAAGTAGAAATTGCTGTCATCACTCCAAGAATGTACTTTCCCAATCCTTCCCATTTATATACGAAAGCAAACTATTTGCAAGCTAACTTTTCCTGGTCAGGATAACCTCTGTCAGAGCATTCTGTAAAACCAGAGATGTGGGTTTGGGTGTGGAAGAGAGAAAAAGCACAAGAGAAATCAGTAACTGCTGCGATATGCTAACTCTGACCACCCAACAACAACAACTTACATTTGTATAACCTTTCACGGCAGGAGGACATCACAAGGCGCTGGATCAATGACATATCCAGCCACTGATAGAAGCCACGTACAAGGAAATAACTTTTTTGGGGGGTTGTGGTTGGAGGAGGGGGGAGCAGGAGAAAGGAAACGGAAGGCAATTTTCAAAAATAAATAGAACACTTTCAATAGTAACTCACCTCCATACTGTTCTTTGTGGGACAAGCTGTTCGTTTAGGCAGTAGTGACTTTCTGCGTAGTTGGTAAGGGCTGTTTTGTGCACCAGGTCCTGACTCTTCAGCAATCATGTCTGCAGGAACGTCATCATCTACAAGAGAAGAAGAAAATTAAAAAGTTACTTCTCACAAATCATTGAACAAAAAAAACTATTCAATCGAGACTTTTCACGCTGCAGAATACGCATAATTTGCTTCACATTGGACTTTATTTGTGATGAAGTAAATCAGGAAACAATGCCCCACAGTACATTTATCAACATCTCTAGATTTGACGCTTTTCATAACAAGACTGAATTTCAAAAAAATACACTAATTTTTTTTCCGAACCCCCTCTAATTCTTGCAATTTAATAATTGCACAATAACCTTAAAAGAAATCTGTCATTTCACCAATATATTTAAATCCACATAAAATCTCTTCCTTGCACATTTTTGTTGCAAGGTAAAGGGTTGCCAAAAACAAATCAACAGGTAAACTACGAATCACAGTAACAGGTTTGCTTAAGTGTTCCTTTCAGTCGCCAAAAGGACAATCAAAAGGAGACTCGCACAGAAACTAACTTATAAAATCAGTTTGAAATTTGGATCTGCCCGAGAAGGCCATTTTCCCGTCAACTAATGGGAGTATTCTTTGGATTTCAAGTGTGCCCAAAGTCCCAGGGTCATGCGACAAAGAAATGATCAGTTACACCTTCAGCTCAGACTGCAAGTCCTACTTCGCTCAGTCCACAAGGCCTGCTTGACTCACCTCTACCATTTAATCTCCTCTAATGGTTTCTCCTCCCACCCTGCAAGGTCACCTGTGTTGTATCGCAAAGCTCAATTCTGGGCCCCTCCCTATTCTTCTTTACATACACTATACCCTCTTGGTGATATCATCTGGAGACTTGAATGCAAATATCACCAATTGAATGCAGATGATACCCAAATCTATTCTTCTTCCTCCAGTCGCGATCCCAGTCCTACCAATTTTCTGAATGCCCGTTTGCCCGAGCACCTCCCTACCTCTCCGATCTGCTCCCACCCCACTCCCTTCCCACCTTTCCCACCGCTTTCGCTCAGCTGTCACAACCAAGCCTCTGCAGCAGTCTCGGTAGTCCAGTTCCTGAGCCAGGCGGATCTACAGAAATCCAGGGTAATGCTGATGACAGCCCACCCAGCCTCGCTCATCGACAGGACTTGGAAAGTCAGACCAGTCACTGTGGGCAGGGATTCTTCCCACTCCGCTTGTGTTAACCCTGCAAGCCAGGGTGGTTCTCGCTAGACAAGCAGCAGAAACGCTTGACACCCAGCAAACGATACGGTTTTAGCAGATTAGACTCCAGCACCATCCCAACACACACTTTGAGGTCCCCAAGCCTTGCCCCTTGCAAATCTGCGCATAATACTCTCCGGAATTAGGTAAGCAAGCTGCATCCCTCCAAATATCTCGGGAATTTCCATGTATGGTTTGGATAAACCTGAGCATGGTGATGGGTTTCCGCATGTGTCAAATACCCAGCTGACCAAAACAATGCAACTCTGAGTGGGCGGTGCCCCTACAATATGGAAGCTATAATTTTCATAGCAAACATAATTCTGACAATTAAGAGTTCACAAATTAGACCTTTGGGTGGATGTAGCCTTCTACATTATCAAATCTACTTCAGAAAAAGGAAATTATCAGAACAGACTTCCGAACTAAAACTAAATCAAGTTTACTTTCCGGATTCTATCGCAATGTAAAGCAAGTTAACACTTCGATAAGCACAAAAGCATTAATTGAGCGTGTTAGTCATTTTTGACGAGAGTAGATTGTAACCTCAATTCCTTGATGCGGAAATTGTGAGTCGAGACTAAGATACGCACAACAGATTTGCTGCACTCAGAATGTGCTGAATTAACAAGATGTCTCAGTAATTTCCTTCACATAAGTAACTTATTGTACAATATGGATAAGTGAGTTCTAATTGGGTCTTGTATCCAACCTAAACACTAAAAGAATTTGCAGAACTAAAGGATATATATTTTTTTAAAAATGTCTACTTAAGCCTAGTGACCCTTTGATCTCAGGGAATTTTCCTTGAAGATAGCATGCCAGATACCCCCTTTAAAGAAATGGTTTAGACTAAAAACAGTTCCATTCATCTATCTGGTGGTACACGACATAAAACGCTGATCAAACAAGTGGACTGCAAACAAAGAAAAGTTATGCTCCTTTTACACCGTGATACAAAGCAGATTGAATTACAACTTCAAACTGGAAGTGTTGCATTTTGAGCCTCTACCTTTCCGATGACTGCTTTGCAGGAAATGATCTTTTGTATTTGCACAGACATCATGCTCGCATCACCATGGTAGACAACTCACCTATACCATTAGAATTTTGGGGGTTATTTCCGCTCCTCAAACAGCAGTAGCGGACGGAGGACAAGAGACAGGTCAGAAAAATTGGCCGCTTTGCTCCTGGTTACTATTATTTAAGGTAGCAGACAGCAACAAAAAGTATTACTGGAATCGCTTGCAAGTCTGACAGAACTCGCAATATCTGTTAGATGACAACTTTTCACAACATCGGATCTCTGTACACAGGAGTGTGGCTTTGAGAAATTCCTCACCGAGAAAAACAGCAATCTCACATTAGGTGAGACAAACTAGAATGTAAAAGCAGTATTAAATACAATAATAATAATAATCCTTGCATTTGAAATAGCGCTTTTCACGTCGGGAGGACGTCCCAAAGCGCTTCACAGAACACACTGTAAAGTGAATTGACTGTATATTTGTGGGCGAACGCGGCAGCCAATTGCGCACAGCAATGTCCTACAAACAGTCGTAGATTGAAAATGACCAATTTATTATTGTTTTTGGTTTTGGAGGGATTATTATTAGGCTCTGTGTGGAGTAAGGAAACTTGCCCAAGATTTCACCCTGACCTTCCTGGAATCGAACTCAGGTCTCTCGCTTGCAAAGCGAGTGCTCTAACCACTGAGCTACAGGACTCCACGGTAAACGGTATCTAGAAGCCAGGACAGATACCTTTCCATATCTCAGTGTTAATTAAAATACACTATGGCTCTATCAACTCACGAAATAATTAGTCAAGTTAACTAGTAGTTAGGAATATAACTGCAAACATTCTGCCTTAAAGATCAATTGTCCAGATTTTTTCCAATTTCCCATGCTATTTGAGAACTTAGAAAATAAACCTCAATTGAAAAGATTCGGGGGGTTTTAAAGAAAAAAAATTGCATAGAAGTCTGTATACATCCAGCAGATATCCTTGTCTGCCAGTTTGCTGATAAATCTAATCACCCAAATATTAAAAACAAATTATCAGGCTGGCAGGGGACAGCCATCTGAAAATAGCAGTTTTGAGAAAATATCAGAACAACATCATTGCTATCAGCGCTCCAGGACACCACCCCATGTGAATGGCATATAAATATATATATATGATCGATATACATATATCCAGAACTTATATATAATATGTGCAATATATATATATATATAAAAATATATATTGTATATAAAAATATATATTGTATATAAAAATATATATTGTATATAAAAATATATATTGTATATAAAAATATATATTGTATATAAAAATATATATTATATATAAAAAATATATAATATATATAAAATATTTTATGTGCAAGTTGTTGTTGCTAAAAAGCGAAGTACTGTATAACAACTCAAACAAAGTTAACTCCAACAAGCAGTTACCGGGTAACTGCTCACAAACATTTGCAACCAACTCTCAGGGCACAATGCATCCATCTTGTGTTCATTTGAAATTTATATAAAAATAATTTTCATTTAATACTGTATTGCATAACAATTTTTAAGCACTTTTCTGCACTGTTCATTATTTTATTGTTTAGACTGATAATGCTAAAAAGGCAGAGTGAAATCAAGCGGTTTCCTTGTTTGCCACAGAAGTGAAATTATTTATTATTTGAATGGATCAAATGCGTATCTAACTTATCTAACCATAATTTGGAATTGTAATTGTTTTGGCTGAGTTCCAAGCTATTGTACGTACACTCAAGAGGAGCCAAGACATTTGCATCCCAGTTTAGGTTAATTTGACCAAGTCATTTCAATGTTGTAAGGCATCGTAAATAGAGGATTGTATTTCTAAACTCACCCCTTCCCAGTAATTGCTGATCCAGAACTGCATTACCACGGGTCAGACTTAAAGCCTCTTTTATCAAAATGGGGAGCGGGGGAGAGAAGGGCAAATATTGAAACTCCAAAGCAATCCCGAATTACACTTCAATCTTCAGCATTTGACCCCAAAAGCATTATCAATGTTCTTGTTGCACCCTTATTTTTTTTTATTTGATAATGCAGACGAGTAAAAGTACAAGACATCAAATAACTAATATTGGTTTATTAGTACCAGCTAGGTTACACCCATTCACTAACCATACAGGAAACACTGCCTTTCTCTCCAAACTCTATCCTGCTTGAACTGATCTCAGCAAAATCACGATGACTGTTCTCATTGTTCTCGGCCTGGGTGGGAGAAAAAAAATCAAAACAGGATTCCTGCTAACGTTCACCATCCAGAGACACTTTCTAGAAAATGCAGACACATAGGCCTGTCAGCTCAGGACAGGCCTGAGCTCAGACTGAGCTCCTCCTCCCACCCACCCTGTCTAGTCATAAAGTTTAGCAACGTCTAGTGCATGGGCTCCCAAACAAAGAGAAGCCAGAAGACGACCAGGGTACGTACTCTAGAGTGCGTTGATCTTTTAGGGTGGGAAGAAATAGGAAGTAAATGAAATGGAAATAAAAACATCTAAGCTTTTGGGGCCGAGACCAACATACAAGTCTTTTTTTTAAAAAAAAGTGCTATAATAAATTATATAAGGAAAAAAAAGAACTCACATCCATGAAAATGAGATGAAGTGCAGTTCATCTGGTGATGGTGTAAAATAAGCATATAACTGTGTAACTTGACCCCCACACTGGGAGACTTTTAAGCATGTAATCCAAAATAACATTCAGCTTCTCGCTGAGCCTGGATATTTCATTGAAAAGCCAAACAGTTACATGTGATCATCACATGCAGCAGGATAAGCCTCCCTGAATTATGCATCATGGGGAATATACATTTTGAAAAAGGGGAGTCATTAAAAGTACAGTAGGTCCAATGAACTGGTCAACAGATAACAAACGTGTGCCTCTTCAATAGAGTGGATAATACTAAATAATAATCCCTGCATTTGATTTAGTGCCTTATCAGGTCTGCGAGAAGTCTCAAAGCGCTTCACAGAATGTACTGTAAAGTGAATTGACTGTATATTTTGTGGGATCAACCCGTTGCATTCATAACCAAAGCAGTCTCCAATAACCTACGAAGCCAACTCCACAACAAAATCGCTAGGGGTGCGATACCTTGCGATGAGAGCTGCAAGTTATTTTAGGAGTTCCAAGTAATTTCTATACAAAAATATACTCATTGGGCTTTGTTTGCTGTAAAATCTGATTTGTTTAAATCTCCTCATAACCTCATTTTGCCACGAATGATCGGTATGAAAAATATTTTTGAAGTTATTGCGAAAATACAACGTGGTCCACATTTAGTCATCTATTAATCCACTTGAACCTTAACTTACAATAGAGTTGTAAAACTTATATTTACATTGGAGTCCTGTGGTGTAGTGGTGAGAGCACTCGCCTCGCAAGCGAGAGGACCTGGGTTTCATTCCCGGATGGGCAAAAACCTTAGGCAAGTTTCCTTACTCCACATGTCTGGTTGTTAGTTGATTGGTGGATCGCTTTTCTGGGGGTAATAATCTCCTCAACAAAATAAAAATATAATAATTTGTTCACTCAGTCCACAATTGTTTGTGGGACACCGCTGTGCGCAATTGGTTGCCGCGTTTCGCCCACAAAGTACAGTTAATCCACTTTGTAGTAAATTTACACTAAGTAGTGAAATGGGTTTGAGACGTCTCGAAGACGTGAAAAGGCGCGATACCAAATGCAAGGATTATTATTGCAATATCAACAATACATTTATATAGCATTCTTGACTTAACAGTGGACTCTGCCTCTACCACCGTACTTGACAGCGTATTATTCCACATCCCATTAACCGTCTGACAATGCAGTACAGTATTCCCGCAGCCCTGCAGTGTGGAGAGTCAGCCTCGACTGTCAGCTCAAAGTCCTGTTGTGGCGCTTGCAGGACTTGAACCCACAAACTACTGACTCAGAGGTGCGGGTGTTCCCAACCGACCCAGGCTGACAGATAGCAAGGGAACCACAAGCTAAAGAATTTTAAAAGTACTGAATGCATTATGCCTCATTTCTCTATACAAAGCCCAAATCTATTTTGACAACAGCTCAATGTAAAATGAACTGTTAGAAAAACTCAACTGGACGGAGATTATTCATTTTAATGAGTAAAGTAATGACTATCTAATTAAATGATTGTACTTACAGGAGCTAACTAATTTGATGGTGCCTGAAGAACATCTGGTGAAAGCCTACCGGCACTTTCATAGAGTATTATGTCAAAGCTGAATGAATCTCTCCTGAGCATATCTGGGTATCCTACTGAATAGTCACCTACTGAAAATAGGCAAGTTGATAAATTCTCTCCTCAGTGATAATATTTTCCAGTTTTACAAAGTTCAAGGCTTAATCAAAACTGCACATTGTAGTCCCTAATAGTCGAGTGAGTAAAGGTGCATTGTTAGGCCATGCTGAATGGTCGCAGGAATGGATTCAAGATCCTCGCATTCAAGTACAAGTCACTTCATGCCCTGACACGTCCCTACCTTTGTGAACGACTTCCCCACCCACCCACCTCGCTCAGCTGCCTCTGGCCTTCTCCACGTCCCTCTCCCCTCAGCTGGACGATCAGCAGCTTTCAGCCACTACCCCCCAAAACTCTGGAACTCTCTGCCTCAAGCCCTCCGCCCATCTTCAGATCACACCTGAAGACCTTCCTCTTTGACTGTCAAGGGCCACCTCCCTTCTCTCGTCGCCGAGCTACGCCATGGCCAAGCACTCAGATACGCTGAGTATCTGATTCAGCATTTGATTCAGGTTTCCTTCTACACGGATACAGCTTCTGTCACCTTCTGGTGCCATTGTTTGTAAGTGAGATTCGACTGCAAGCATTCGTGAGCTTTTCAAACTTGTGGAAGAGTGGCCAATTCATACAAACACGTGTACACTTGTACCTTCCAAACATGTGTCACACCTTCTAAAAACTGCATAACAATACAGATATAGGCTCACCTTTCACTTTCAGGAGGGAGTCCTAAAATTAACAAAAATGCCTTCATCCCAAATTCAATGGTTCAGTTAGACCAAAATGAGACTTTTGAGGCGTTATATATATCCTGCAGCCCACGTTAGCCAAGTATTCTTCAAGTACTTGGGACTAATTGGCAAAAACACATATGATGAATATCAAGAGAAGGCTGGGAGTTGAGAGTAACAAGACGAGAGTAAGTTTCTCAGGAAGCAAAGGTTTTGAAGCTGATAGCTATAATTTTCAGATTAGAAGATGCCATCTAGAATCCCAAATCAATCACAACCCTTTCTTTTGAAGATGACGCATTGTTGAAGCAAGTTTGCCACATGTAACTTCAACAGCACCAAAGAGATCTGTGTTCGCTGGTTATAATCCACGTTTCAGTTTAGTGTTTAAAAAGTTCAAAGCCAGGCAAAAAATAAAAACGAAGATATAAAAAAAGGCCTCTAATGCATAAACTGTTGATGCAAGGATGTAGAATGTTTCAATACAATTCTCTTCCTGTATTTTTCATTAGAAGAATTCACGGCAAATCTAGTCTAGGCCCTAGAAAATAGCGCAGTAGTGATTTCACAGAGGAGATAAATATAATCTTACCATACATATCAAGTAGTGACTAGATCCTCCCAGGCAAGCAGAAACGTGAGCTACGTTCAAATGTTCTATCATTTTATCCCCACACGAACTGTGGACAGAAATCAAACTCTAGGGATATGCACACATGATATGCAGGCTTTAGAAAAACAACACAAAGTAAGTGATGATCTGAGAGAGAAGAATGAGCGACACTCTCTCGTGGAGATGGTCATCGTCTGAAGCTGCTGAAGTCGATATTAAGACTAGCAAGTTGAAAGATGCTTAAGAGAAAGAGGAAATGCTTCTCCTAAAATCGGAAGTCACAAATTAAAAATATCAGGGGGAAAATGGAAAGGGAGTGAGTTGGCAAACCACAGGGACCTCAGATGCTGACGGAGGGGAAAAAAAAATAGACTTGCTCTGGTGAAGTACTGTACTAACATGTACAAATCTAAGATAAAGCATTGCAACTTAGAATAAAGACCTGATGTAAGACACGGGGAAAGGAAATCTGGTGGAATTAGTGATCCAAGCAAGAGACTTGGGTTTGATTCCCAGTAGGGCAAAACCTTCGGCAAGTTTCCTTACTCCACACACCAGATAATAATCCCTCATGAAAAAAAAATAATAATTTGGTCACTCAATCCACGACTGTTTGTGGGACACTGCTGTGTACAATTGGCTGCCGCATTTCGCCCAAAAAATACAGTCAATTTATTTTACAGTATGTTCTGTGAAGCGCTTTGAGACGTCTGAAGAAGTGAAAAGCACTATATTGAAGTGCAAGGATTATTATACATTATCCAAGATTTTTCAAAAAATAATAGGGAAACCTATTCATTGTGATTACCGTTCTGTGCAATCAGCCTTTGAATGAAAGCTTCTTCAAATCTTATATAAAAAAAAATTTCTTTGGCACTCTCCATTGAAATTCATTTAGCATGATTATTGTATGCAGAACTCCTAGATGTGCTAAAGGAAACTTGGGACTCCTCGTACAATACAAGATAATCTCTTATTTTACCTGGGTTAAGGGAGCACCAGAAACCAGGGGAAAAAAAGGGGAATTACAATTAGCAGCACGATCAAACCAGTGCTCAAGAACGATGGTGCGAAGGACCTTCGCTTGTGTATGCAAATCAGAAGAGTACAGCACATTAGAATAAAGACCTGATTATAAAAAACGACTTACATTGACTGTCACATATGGGTAAAATCTCAAACAATCACAAAAAGCTTCTCTGCCTATTCATCTGCTCAATCGGATCTAACAATCTGAACAAATACTTGGAAAGATCCTCCTGCCTTGTCAATCATTCGGGGAAGACGTCACACGAATGCATAATAAACGCTTACATTTTCCAAGAGATTACTTGTCTTGAAGTATAGAGCGCATCTCCATAATGTAAAGACGGAAATGTCTATCCACATTTGTAAAGTCGGAACATGATAACTGCAGCATTTTAATAAGCGTCCACATCTAGCTGCTGATCACGACTGCTGACACAAAACAGGGTTAAGGTGGGGTTTTAGTCATCGGTACTCTATCAGCTGCTAATTGTCATAACTGTGTGAAACAAAAGTATAGCCTTTCAAAATAAGATTTGCAATATCTCTGTACTCAACTTTTGTCGTCTCCGCA